TTGCTCCAGCTGGTCAGCTGGCCAGCAGCCGAGCAAAAATCCCTGTTAAAGACCCCTCCCTGGATGGCATCGTGTGTGAGGAAACGGTGCATCGTTCTTCGCCTCAGCTCCAGTAACCAAATGGCAAAGTTGCCAACACCGAAATTCTTTTCTAGAGTGTGAATTTTCTTTCCATGTCCCAAACATGTTCACCAAAGAACTTGACAATGGCACTCAACTCCGCCACTACTGGCGGGTCCACACAGTTCAGCAGGGCTAGTGCGGCAGCGCTTTCACTCCTTCCCACCTTGTAAGCGTCTGCCAGCTGGGAGGCCTTCTCCCACATCTCGGCGCGGCGCAGAAATGAGAATGATCACTCTATATTGCAGGCAATCCACATCGAGTCTACAGTTTCTCTACTAGCCACAACAACAAACCAACACTAAGACTGAGGTACTGCTTCAGATTCATCTGATTTCATCCTCTTCAACAATGCCATCTGATGTAGAAGATTAAAACAGTTGGGCTTCCGTCTCACATTGGCAGACGCTGTTGCGATACCTTCCGCAAGGTGTCAAAATGAAAACTGCGCGCAATGGGGTCTAAACAAACAACTTTGATGTCTATTTTTTGGGCCAGCCACATCGATTCTTGAGTACATGTTCTGATGCATCTGCAGCCACTAGCACTGTGGCATGGACTGTTTGGAAACTCCTCAGCTCGGTTTCGATACGTGATTTTTTCTTCTACAAGCACTGCGTTTCTAAGATTTGTTCAAGGCTCGCTTTCCAGTCCTCGCGTCTAAGTTCTGGCACGGCCTACGAATAGCGTCAGCACTTGATTGAAAGCAAAATTGACCCAGCATCCCTTGCCTGTATGAACTCCTCCTTCTCGAAGCAGCAAAGCAGGACTGTGTAAGCTGCAAACATTCTGCTCCACCCCTTGACAAGAAAGAAGGAATGTGGCTCAGCCATTCCCAGGTGATGCTCGACCTCACCTCCATCCAAATCCGCCAAGCGCAAACTGTGAGCAGGTTCAATGCCAAATCGAGGCTGTTGCTCTGCCACAGTGACCTTTTCGACTCCTCCAGCGTCTGGGTCTGTTTCCAGCCTGAAAGTCTGAACTCAAACTCAGATCTCCAGGAACACCAACTGGCATTAAGATTCGCGCCCATGAAGGACTATTAGTTCTGCGAGGTTCTGAAGAGCATCCTGCAAAGTGGTTGAGTTGTGGATGGACCCTGCTTCAATTGACAAAGCACAAAAAACAGTGGCAATGATTATACGCTTTGTTTGTTGTTGTTTGTGTGTTTGCCTGGTTGGTTCATGTCAAACACAACTGGCTTACTGTCCGGCTCCACGATACCTTTCAATCCGCAGGACGGAGACCATGGCAAATGCCATGGCCTGAGATAGGTTCCTCCCGGACGCTTGCGCGCGCCTGGATCTGCGTACGTCCTCAGTCAAACACTCCATCCGGGCCTTACTGTAAAGGCCCGGATCGTGGTTTTTGTCAGTGACGAATGTTGCAGGGCTGACTTGGTACCCTGCCGACCCTCATCTGGAGGGAATGTTTGATCAATCCACTTCAAGAACTTGATCGTGGCAGCCTGGCACAATGAGAAACATCACAGACAGTAACCTTGATCTATGGCGTGGACCAAACCTTACTTCCAAGGACGTCTTCAAAGTACTTGTCAATGCTGCCATGTGTGCTGATGCGCTCCTTCCTGGGAGCGCACTCGCCCACAAAAAAAAGAACTGACGGCTGACAGTACATTCAGAACAAATAGTCACATAGTAGTTGTAGTGTGGGAGAGATGGTGAATGGAACACAGTTGTCCAAAACCTGGTCAGGGAGCAACCACCCACGGAAAACTTCAGTGGCAGGCACGCAGTCGTCCAGCGTTGCACCTTCATCCTTGCACTTCTTCACTGGCACGACAGCGCCAGGATTGCTGCCAGAGGATTTCCGCTTGGGCATGCCAACCCACGCACGCCACAGAGAAAAATAACACTTCTCGGGCCAAACCCACTAGATCACCAACGCAATAACTTTGCACTTTGGGAATATCAATATCCTAAGTTTAATTCACCTTTCTCAGAGCAAACGAAATGAACGTCTGCAAAACTGACGTTGGACAGAACATCGCAATCATGTTTCTGCAAACTAGGTCTTTTCCAAGTGCTCCGAATTGGCAACGTCCAAGACTTGGGTGTGAACCGGACGCCTGCTTCGTAGCCAGCCGCCAGTCATGATGACCTGGCAAACTTACACGGCGCACACATGTAGGAAGCCCCTGGCCTACTTCCTCAGGTGCTGAGGCCCAATCATCAGTGGTGCATTTCAAAAAACTTAGACTAAATGTTTTGTACTAAGATCGGTTTTGTGCGGGATCCCATCGTGTGTTAACATGTTTGTGCCGGATCTCATCATACTAAGATCGGTTTTGTG